CTTATCAGTTCCCATGGATTTAGATAAACCAAAGAATTTATGTGCATTTATGCATAACCAATGGACATAGACAACAGTACTGTGGGAGGGGGCAGGAAGGGGAGGGTGTCTAGGTGCAAGGGGTGGGAGTGGGGGATATCTGTAATTAAATTAATTAAAATAAAAAAATACTGATTATTATCTTAATTTTATCTCCAGTCTGGACCTCTCTTCTGAGCTCCAGACTCTCATATCCATCTTGTCTCAGAAATGTCTTATACTTAATGTGCCTAAAATGGAACTTAATTCCCTCTATTCCCACTACATTCTTCAATAAATGGCACTACCAGCCCTGGCTGATTTGACTCAGAGGTTAGAGTATTGGCCCACTGATCAAAGAGTCTCAGTTCAATTCCGGTCAAGGGCACGTACTCAATTGTGGTTCAATCCCTGGCCTCGGTTGGGGTTGTGCAGGAGGCAGCCAATCGATGTGTCTCTCTCATATGTTTCTCTCTCTGTCCTTCCCTCCATGCCTCCCACTCTATCTAAAAATCAATGGAAAAATATCCTTGGGTGAGGATTTTAAAAAATAATAATAAAAAATGGCACTATCATTCTTGAATCATCCTTGCCTTAGATCTCCCTCATTCTATCTGGATTCTATCTCCAAATTTATTTTGAATTGTCAATGTAAGAAACATTCAAGCCTGTAGAGATTTTTTTGTGAGTTAATTTGAGCCAAACTGTCAACAATTTATGGAAGCAGAATCTCAACAGATTGAGAAAATGCTATAGAAAATGGCAGTTTGCATTTTACTTTATACATTACAGTCAAAAGAGAAGATGTAAGTGTGTTATATAAAATCCATTGATGATAGATTAGGAAGGTGGGAGAAAGCAAAGTGGGGAAACCTGGGACTGGATAAAAAGTAAAATGATAGACACATAGGTGAGTACAGGAGAGTTAACAGTTAACATTTAACTCAATAATAATGAGATTTGTGTCTCCATTCTGGTGCATACCTGTGCTTTGAGGGGTCTAGAAAAGGAAATTACTTTGACATTCCAAAGGTATGTTATTATAGATGCAAAAAGACAATAGACAGGCTTAATGTGAAAATTGACCTTTGTCAGGGAAGAGTCTAGCCTAGGAGATGACTACCCACCATAAACTGCTTTTAGTTTAAAAGTTTTAATTTCAGACTATTGTTGTTATTTTAGGTCTCTGAGTTTGTAAGGCCACCATGCAGGCCTTCCCTGAGCTTGTCCACAAAATTCACTTTCTTCTCTCTACCTCCATTGGCAAACTGGCTCCACTATAGGCCAGACCACCATCGCTTCTTATTCGGACTACTCTAGCAGCCTCCTAACTGTCTCCCCACCTCTGTTCTTGCACCCTTCTCTCCAGTTCATACTGCATACTGTTGTAAGAATAATCACGAATCAAACTATTTTATTTCCCTGTTTGATCGTTTCAGTGGCTTCCCAGATTGCCTTCTTTGGTGTGCACAATCTGGTCCCTGCCTGGTCCTCCAATTTCATGTCATTCTCCCTCCACTTACTGTGCTCTAGTGACACTGGTCTTGTTTTACTTTCTTTTCACATACCAAACTTTTCTCTTGGACTTGGCAGTTTCCCCTTTGAAGGGCTAACTCCTTTTCTTCTTTTAATTGGGTCTTAGCTTAGATTCATCTGATCAAAGATATCATTCCTTGATTGCCCTTCCTAAAGTAGGTTCTTCCTCATTCTGTTTGCTTCCTAATACTTGCAGTTATTTTGTCTGTTTACTTCCTTTTCTTCACTGAAAAAAATGTAAACTCAGTGAGGAGAAGGACTGGGTCCGACTTGTTTACTGTTTTGCTCCTAGTATCTGGAACAATGTTTGACATGTAGCAAGCACTCATTAAATATTTATGAAATCATAGAAAGAAGGAAAGGGAAGAGAAAAGAGAAATGGTTGGAGTGGGTTGGGAGAGAGAAAAAAGAGAAGGAAGGAGAGACAGGAAATAAAGGAAAGGACAGACAGGAAATAAAGGAAAGGACAGGAAGGAAAAGGGAAGAACAGAAAAAGGAAGACATGCTTCCTGAGCCTCTGTTATACTCTCGGTTCCTCTATCCTCCCGGTGTTATTCCATTCAAGGTTCCAGCCACCACCATAATGCTTGCAATATGTGAGAGGAATTACCTAACATCCTAAGGTGCCCTCGTCTTCCTCAGACCCCTCAAAGTTTCTGTATCTAACACTTGAGGCTGTGGAGCCCATAAGTCAAGTCTATCATTTTTACACACTGGACTCCATTTATTTCTGAAAAGTCATTGGCCCTCTCCACCTTCTTCCCTTCCTCCTCACCAGAGGTACATATAGAGGAAGTATCCGGCTTATAATCGTAAAGCTAGTGAATGGAGGAAGCCCTTAGGATTTCACCCCAGGCATTTGTAGCTATAAAGACTGTGCCTTTGTTGTAGACCAACGAGACAGACTCCGAACTGGGTTCAAATTAAGAGAGCTTTATTAGCCATGCGGCGACTGTCCCGTCCTACGCAGAGGAGAGAGCAGCCCCGAGCTCAGGGGGAGGGCTGCTTATATAGTTGTCTTAGCCCTAGTTAAGAAATTGGGCTAGCCCTAGCCAGTTTGGCTCAGCAGTTAGAGTGATTTGGCTTAGTGGTTAGAGTGTTAGCCTGTGGTCCAGAGAGACCTGGGTTCGGTTCCCACTAAGGGCGCGTACTCAGTTGCAGTTTGTCCCCGGCCCTGGTTGGTCGTGCCAGTGGCGGCCACTCGATTTGTCCCTTTCACATCAATGTTTCTCTCTCTCTCTCTCTCTCTTCCTCTTTCTCCCTCCCACTGTATCTGAGCAAAAAATGGAAAAATGTCCTCGGGTGAGAATAAAAAAAAAAAAATTGGGCTAAAGCGAGTAAGCAAGCAGGCAAGCACCTACAGAAGCAGATATCTGCGGTTAGCCATTACGCCTGAGGGATGAATTAACTATACAGTGGGTTAGTCATTATGCCTGAGGGATGAACAGTTTCAGTTTGCACAATGCAATGGTTAACCATACAATACAATGCTTTAACTCTGGCTGATGTATATCTCCTTCCTTGCTTAATGGGAAAATTTTTACTGTATGTTCACATAGCATATGTTTGTCCTTCACACTTTTTGACACATGAGGCCATTTATCTGTAGTGGTTCCCTGAGTATCAAACAACCAATAGGTAGATGGTTGTTAATCTGTCAACGTAAGAAATGTCCAAACCTGTAGAGAATGTTTATAAGAGTTTATCTGAGCCAACACTTATGCCACATGCCAGGGAGCAAGATCTCTAATGCTGTGGAAAATGACAGTTTCACAGTTTCTTTTATGCACCAAATTAAGGAGGGAATTTAAGAAAGATTACATGAGGGTGGGAGAAAGCAAGGCAAGATTACGTGATTTCTTGAAGGTGGTTATTAACCTAGATGCACAGAAACAATGGACAGAGCTTGCTTAAGGCAAAGATAAAACCTTTTACTAAAAAGTTACATGCCTGGGCATGACTACCCATCATGACCTGGAATTTATGGTCAAATCACCCTGAGGTTACTTTTGATAGAACCCCTTTTTTCATCCACAGATTGAGATTTATTGTATCACATATAACCCATGAATCTCAAGTACACCCTCTGCTTATTCCACACTTCCTTGTAACCCTGTTCTGATCACTGGACTGCTACAGTAGCCTCTTTTTTAAAAATTTATTTTATATATTTTTTATCCTCACCCGAGGACATTTTTTGATATTTTGTTCAGATAGAGTGGGAGGGAGAGAAAGAAACATCAATGTGAAAGGGACACATCGAGTGGCTGCCACCCACACGACCCAACCAGGGCCGGGGACAAACTGCAACTGAGGTACGTGCCCTTAGTAGGAACTGAACCTGGGTCTCTCTGGACCGCAGGCCGATGCTCTAACTGCTGAGCCAAACCATCCAGGGCACAGTAGCCTCTTAATCAGTCTTCCTGCCTCCCCACTTGCCCCTACAGACCATTTTCTAGCTGGCAGCCAGGTTTGTTTTTGTAAAACATGTAAATTGCCCTGCTCCGTTTGGCTCAGTGGTTGGAATGTTGGCCAGGGAAAGAAGAGTTGCAGGTTCGATCCCCAGCCCTGGTTGGGGTTGTGTGGGAAGCAACCAGTTGATGTGTCTCTCTCATATCAAAGTTTCTCTCTCTCTCTCTCCCTCCCTCCCTCCCTCCCTTTCACTCTATCTAAAAATCAAAGGAAAAATATTAACAACAACAAAAGAATTAAACACATGTAAATTGTATTATGCTACTTTCCGGTTTATACTCTCCAGTTCTTCTTATTATACTTAGAATAAAACCCAGACTCCTAATTATGACATATAAAGCCCCTCATTATCTTGCCTTGCATGTTTCTGTGACCTTAGATCCTTTTATTCTGCTTTGTTCCAGCCATACTGGTCTTCTTATAGTTATTTTAACTGCAAGCTAGTTTCTACCTCAAGTTCCTTATAGAACTGGCTCCCCCACCTAAATCTTTACATGGCTGGCTCATGGACATAATTTAAGTATCACCTTCTCAGAGAAGCATGTCTTACTAGGCTATCTAAAATAGAACACCCAACACAAAAACATATACTTCTCTCTATCCTCTTAACCTGCCTTATTTTCTTCATATAATCTTCCTTCCTCCCTTCCTCCCTCCCTCCCTTCCTTCCTTTTCTTTCTATTTATTTATTTTTGCTTGTTCATTGACTCTCTCCTCTACTAGATATAAGCCTCATGAGGGTAGGTTTTTTGCTGTACCATCAACTAAGTGCTTAGCACTAAGTGAGTACTCATATTTGTTGGAAAAAAATGGGGAGTAAAACTTGTTTTATGGGTTTAATATCAATTTTATTTGAGTAAAAGTCACAGCAGTTTTGTTTTTAGGGTTTTGGAAAATTACTACTGTATAAATGTAGAAAAACCTAGTACCTATATGACTCCATGGATTGAAATTGAGTCTTTCCCCAATTCTAGAACTCATAAAATTGAGGCTGCTCCAGCCAGCTCTGCAGTTGAAGGATTTAAGGCAAATCTCATCTTTAAGGAAATTCAGAAGAAGCTCGAAGAGGTAAGTAATATTTATCTAAAATACCACCATAAGGACCCAGAGTCTAGAGGAAGTGCCGATAGATTTCAGGTGTTGCATGAAGTAGTACAAGTTGAAAATTTATATCATTATTGTCAAGTATTGAGTGTATTTTAGATTTCTGAGTGTCTATTATGGTTTCCTTGTAATTCTGGTAAGAGTGCATTTCAGAGATGTATGAATCTCCAGATTTGAGTTACATAAAGAACTGTAGTAAATTGCTGTTAAAATCTTAACTTCAGAGGAAAGGCTAACCCTTATCACTCTTTTTTCCATCCTTTTTTTGTCATGCTCATGAATTCTCTTTCTTTTTTAATTTCTTGCTTAATCCCTCCACCTCCCCTCAACCCTTCCCCGTGTCAGAGCTTTCTGTCTGCTCTCTATCTATGAATCTGTCTCTATTTTGCTTGTTAGTCCAGTTTTTTTCATTAAATTTCACCTATGGTACTTGTCTTTCTCTCGCTATTACCATCAGTTTTAATGACCACATAGTACATGTTTGAATGTATGTACTATCATCTATTTAACTAGTCTCCTATGATGAATATTGGGTTATATTTAAATTTTGTAAGTAAAACAGTGGTTTAATAAATTTCCTTATGTGCTCAACTTTAAGTACTTAATGCCGTGATTACCTTAGCATAAATAATTAAAGGGGAAAATTGTGGGTAGTTGGATATGTGTGTTTTGCATATTGCCAATTATATACCAAAAAGAGGATACTAATTTACAAATTTAATAATAATTCATGAGGGTGCCTTTTTTTTCTTTAGAACTTCTCCAGTGCTGTGTTGGCTGGTTAAAAAAAAAAATCTTTGCGCCCTGGCTGGTTTGGCTCAGCAGTTAGAGCATCGGCCCTCAGACCAGAGAGTCCTGGGTTCGGTTTCCACTAAGGGCACATACCTCGGTTGTGATTTGTCCCCAGCACTAGCTGGGGTTGTGTGGGTGGCAACCACTTGATGTGTCTCTCTCACATGGATGTTTCTCTCTCTCTCCCTTTCTCTCTTCCTCCTGCTCTATCTGAGGATGAATGCAAAAAAAAAAAAAAAAAACTTTGACAATTTAGTAGGGAAAAAGAATCTTGTTTTAAAAAATTTCTTTCAAATGTCCACTAAAATGAAAAATTTTTTTCATGCCACCAATATTTGCCTGCGGAATAATTCATAGTATAGTTGCTTCTGCCAAATTGCCCCATTTTTTCAACTTTATTCTGTTTAAAAATATCAAATAAAAATAATTAGTTTAGAGAGTATCTGGTATGGCTAGATACCAACCACTGAATACTTCATTATTGGGATTAACAAAGCAGGGCTGTTTTTATTTCACAGTCCTCTTTTAGCTTTGCAAATGTATGCTTCTTGCTCCCATTTAATTCTTTTCTCTTCCTTCCATAACCTCACTTGCATGGACCTTGTCCTCTTATTTCTTTTCTCCTTCCCACGATTGTCAGTTTCCTAAATGTTTGGACTAGAAAGTGAAAGAAAGTCTTGAATCTTTTGTCAATTCATGCATTTTCTGCCTTAGCAAAGGAAACCTGGCAAGATATTTTATTTCTACTTTTGTCTTTGTTAGCAATACCCACTGCCCTTTGAATTCTCTTAATTTTTTATTCTGATTATGTTTACAACGAGACCTACTCCTTGACCTTTTACCTACTCAGAAAGAAATACTTTCTTCATAAGGAGGCACTTAGAACTTTGTTAGTATTAGTTATCTCCGGTTTTGCAACAAATGTGTATTTGCTTTCCCTTTTAACTCTCTCCCTCCTTCTTCAGTTGAAAATGTTTTATTGACCAAAGGATGTAAGACAACCAGATGGTTCTCAACATTAACAGCAAGTGAAAAATTAATCTGTATCTGTCTCAAGGAGGTGGGAGGAATTTCTCTCCAAGAATATAGAATTTCTAAATGTTTGCCGATGTTATCTTGCTCTGACTTGTTGCTATTTGTCTAAGCTCACTATTCCTGAGACATTGTGCAAGCGGATGGCATGGAGACACCTGGAAATAGTCATTTAGGAGCCACTGACTCCAAAGAAAGCCTGACTCTTGGGTGGCCCAACACACCAGCCTTATTAACCGACTCTTCTAGATTGTCTCCACAGAACCTTAAGGGGTAAAAATATTTCAAGGAATGTGGAGAAAATTTTGAGTTTTCTTTTAATCCATTTATTGTGACAAATTGCTTTCATAGTCTAAAGTTTGGAAGTATTGATATAGTCTACTTTGCAGTACGGTATGGTCAAATGGAAAGAACATTGAATTTAGAGTTAAACCAACCTAGGACTGAGTTCTGGTTGTACTACTTATACCCTAAGGGAAGAGAGACATGGAAAAATTTTCCCAGAAAAAGATAACTGCTTTAACAGGAAACCTGAGTGCCTATGCAAAGAGGTATCAAAGTATCCAGTAGAGACAGGAAAGCCTTCCCAGCACAGTATTGTTTATAATAGCTAAAAAGGAGAAACAACTAGCAACTGATGAATGGCTAAACAAAATGTGCTAAATCCATACAATGGAATATTACTTGGCCATAGGAAGGAAAAAATTACTGTTGCATGCTTCAACCTCAGTGAACCTTAGAAACATTATGCTTAGTGAAAGAAGCCAGTCACAAAAGACGATATATTGTATGATTCCATTTATAAGGAATGTCCAGAATAAGCAAATCCACAGAGACAGAAAGTAGATTAGTGGTTGCCAAGGGCTAGCAGGAGGGGAAAATAAGAGCGGAGGGGTGAGGAGAACATTCTAAAATTAGATAGTGGTATTGTTTGCACAACTCTGAATATATTAAAATACCACTGAATGATACTTTAAAAGGGTAAATGTTATGGTATGTAAATGGTATCTCAGTAAAGCTGTTATAAAACAAACAGCAAAAACAAAAAGAACTAGGCTCTCTGCATACATAGAAACAGAGATTAGCATCTGATGTCAGTTTATGTAAATTCTTCAGGGATAATAATTATTTGAATATTTCAGGTACTTATCACAGTGCCTGAACATAGTAAACACTTAAATCTTTGTTAAAAGAATGAAATGAAATGAATCTTAGTTTTAAATTATTATAAGGATACAAGGCTGAAATAAAGAAGGTGGGAAATAAAAACTATTATAAATGATAAGAGAATTAAAAACATAGCCAGTTCCAAAATAAATAAAGATTAGTATATTTTCTATACTTTTACACTAATCCAGCCATAAAATATGATAAATATATTATTAGTAAGAGCAATATAAAACACTTAAGAATCACCTTGGCAAGACATGTACAAAAGCCATTGTGAGAAAAAAAAAAAGGCAAAATATTGCCAAGGGGCATGAAAGAACACTTGAAGATATACCGTATTCATAGATGGGAGGACTTAATATTCTAAAAATACTACTTCTCCCTAAACAGGTCCATATATTTTATGTAACCCTATCAAAATCCAACAGTATATGCTTGGGGTAGGGGTTAGGGGAGTGGTAGAACTAACTGAATGATTGTAATGTATATCTAAGAGGGGGAAATAGTCCAAAATAAATTCTATAATAGCCAAGAATATTTGGAAGAGAGTAATTATGTTGGGGATTTACTATACTAAAGAGTAAAGTACATTATCAAACCATAATAGTGGCACAGAAATAACAGACAGATCATAGAGGAAAATAACAAAAAGTGCTAACATTTATTAAGTAGTTATTCTGTGCTTTATGGGTATTTACATAATTAAAATTTTGTACAACTCTGAGTTATATAATTCTATTATTATCTTCATTTCACATCTAAAACAGATTCAGAGAGGTTTAGTAACTTGCTTAGGGTAATGTAAGTATGCAGTAGAGCAGAAATTTAAACCTATGCTAATTGCAGATTCAGTGTTCTTAATTAGCAAAATTTAATTCTAGGAATTTAATCTTATATAAATGAGGCTATGTAAGAATATTTAGATATACAAATGTTATTCACCGCATTGTTATAAGAACCAGAAGTTAGAACTAATCTAAATATCAAGCAACAGAGTATTGGTTAAATATAGCACACTTCAGTTAAGACTATATGGGGTTATTTATTTATTTAAAAACATTTTTTTCTTTATTGATTTTAGAGAGAGAGAGGAAGGAGGAGAGAGAGATGGAAACATCAATGAGAGAGCACATCGATTGGCTGCTTTCTGCATTCCTCCCACTGGGGATTTGGCCCACAACCTAGGCATGTGTCCCTACCAGGAATCAAACTGGTGTCCTCCTTTTTTTTTTTTAAATTGATTTTCAGAGAGAGAGGTAGGGAGAGGGGGAGAGAGAAACATCTATGAGAGAGAACATCGATTGGCTGCCTCCTACATACCTCCCACTGGGGATTTGGCCCACAACCTAGGCATGTGTCCCTACCAGGAATCAAACTGGTGTCCTCCTTTTTTTTTTTTTAAATTGATTTTCAGAGAGAGAGGTAGGGAGAGGGAGAGATAGAAACATCTATGAGAGAGAACATCGATTGGCTGCCTCCTACATACCTCCCACTGGGGATTGGGCCCACAACCTGGGCATGTGCCCTGACTGGGAATCAAACCAGTAACCTCTTGGTACATGGATTGACGTTCAACCACTGAGCCACAGCAGTTGGGTGAACCGGTGACCTCTTGATGCATGAGTCGATGCTCAACCACTGAGCCACATTGGCTAGTCTATATGGGGTTATTTAAAATTATGTAGAAGAGCCCTGGCCGGTTTGGCTCAGCGGTTAGAGCGTCGGCCTGCGGTCCAGAGAGACCCGGGTTCGGTTCCCGCTAAGGGCACGTCCCTCGGTTGCAGTTTGTCCCCGGCCCTGGTCGGTCGTGCGGGTGGCAGCCACTCGATGTGCTCCTTTCACGTCGATGTTTCTCTCTCTCTCTCTGTTCCTCTCTCTCCCTCCCACTCTACCTGAACAAAAAAATGGAAAAATGTCCTCGGGTGAGGATAAAAAAAAAAAAAAAATTATGTAGAAGAATATCTAAAACATAGTAATGAGGATAATTGTATTAAATAGAAAAGTAGATAATAAAATAGTATGTGCAATATGATCTCATATATTAAAATATTTTTGAGTGAAGAAATTATGAATTATTTATATATATATATTTTGCTTATTGGTATTTTCTTTTTTCACAATAAAGTGTGTGTTTTCTCTCTAAAGAAAAATAAGTGCGATGAAATTTGTTTTTGTTTTTGAAGATGTGTGAGGTTATTCCTTCACCCTGCTAGCTGGCTTAGCTGTTCCTCTGTGCTTCCCACCAGCCCCCCATGTTTCCCTTTATCCCAATGTATTGTTATAGTCATCATAGTGAATTATCACTTATCCCTCTAATTCCTATTTCTGTATTCTTGGTGCCTAGAACAGTGTCTGGTGCCAGTCATTGTTTCATTCAGTAAATATTGCAATAAGGGAAGATGAAGCAGAGTGGGAATGAAAGGGACAGGGAGGAGAATGAAAACCAACCTACAGAGATATGTATCAGATTATTTTTCCAGTTTCATTCTTTTTTTTTTAATCCTCACTTGAGGACATTTTTCCATTTTTTGTTAAGATAGAGTGGGAGGGCCCTGGCCGGTTTGGCTCAGCGGTTGGAGCGTCGGCCTGCGGTACAGAGAGACCCAAGTTCGGTTCCCGCTAAAGGCGCGTACCTCAGTTTGTCCCCGGCCCTGGTTGGTCGTGAGGGTGGCAGCCACTCGATGTGTCCCTTCACATCAGTGTTTCTCTCTCTCTCTCCCTCTCTCTCCCTCCCACTCTATCTGAACAAAAAATGGAAAAATGTCCTCGGGTGAGGATAAAAAAAAAAAGATAGAGTGGGAGGGAGAAAGATGAAGAGAGAGAAACATCGATGTGAAAGGGACACATTGAGTGGCTGCCACCCTCACAACCAACCAGGGCCGGGGACAAACTGCAACGGAGGTACGTGCCCTTAGCGGGAACCGAACCCGGGTCTCTCTGGACCGCAGGCCGACGCTCTAACCGCTGAGCCAAACCGGCCAGGGTTCCAGTTTCATTCTTCAAGATCCAAAAGTAAATTGTTATATTACTTTCATAATTCTTTATACTAATCCAGAAAATAGATTGACCAGAGAAAAAGTCATTGCTGTTAGAATCACGAATATTTAATTGTGGGAAACCAAAAATGTATGTAAAGGAATTTACCTGCAAAAAAAGAAAAAGAGGGAGTGTAGGTTCATACATTCAGAGATGCCAGAGCGAAACTTGCAGAAATTATTGAGACAAGTGAAGGCTATTTCCGTAGAGAATGCTGGTGTGCCGCCTCGGTCCTCCTTTTCCTTCCACCCATTGTAACCAGGAAGCCATTTTTTTTTTTTTCCAAATCTTTATTGTTGGATGTAAAATGTATTACAGATGTTCCACATTTTTCCCCCATTGACCCCCTCCTCCCCACTCCCGCCCCCCTCCCACCTTTTCCCACATTATTGTCTGTGTCCATTGGTTATGTATATAAGTTCTTTGGTTTATTTCTTCCCACCCCCCCAACCCCTTTCCCTTTGAGGTTTGTCAGTCTAGCAATGAATTTGTGCTTCTTAATCCCTTCACCTTTTTCACCCATTCCCCCAATCCCCTTCCCAACTGGCAACCAACAAAATGTTCTCTGTATCTATGAGAATGTTTCTGTTCTTCCTGTTCATTTTGTTTGTAGATTCCATTGTTGATAGATATGCATTCATTGCCATTTTGTTTGTTCATACATTTTATCTTTTTCTTCAAAAAGACCCTTCATCATTTCATATAATAACGGTTTGGTGGTGATGAACTCCTTTAACTTTTTCTTGTCTGGGAAAGTTTTTGTATGTCCATCGATTCTAAATGACAGCTTTGCAGGATAGAGTAATTTTGGTTGTAGGTTCTTGGTTTTCATCACTCTGAATATTTCTTGCCACTCCCTTCTGGCCTGCAAAGTTTCTTTTGAGAAATCAGCTGACAGCCTAATGGGTACTCCCTTGTAGGTAACTAGCTGCCTTTCTCTTGCTGCTTTTAATATTCTCTCTTTGTCTTGAACCTTTTGCATTTTGATGATGATGTGTCTTGGTGTGGGCCTCTTGGGGTTCATCTTGTTTGGGACTCTCTGTGCTTCCTGGACTTGTATGTCTGTTTCCTTCACCAAGTTAGGAAAGTTTTCTGCCATTATTGTTTCAAACAGGTTTTCGATTTCTTGTTCTCTCTCTTCTCCTTCGGGCACCCCCAAGATGCGAATGTTGGCACGCTTGAAGTTATCCCAGAGGCTCCTTACTCTATCCTCATTTTTTGGATTCTTTTTTCTTTTTGCTGTTCTGATTGGGGATTTTTTGCTTCCTTATATTCCAAATCGATGGTTTGCTCCTTGGATCTACATACTCTATTATTGAAGCTGTGTAAATTATTCTTTATTTCAGTTAATGCCTCCTTTAATTCTAACTGTGTATCCATGATTTCTAACTTGTCCTTTTTTATGCTCTTGAGGCCCTCCCTAAGTTCACTGAGGTTCTCACTAAGTTCATTGAGCATCCTTATAAGCAGTATTTTGAACTCAGTATCTGTTAGGTTGCTTATCTCCCTTTCGCTTAGTTCTTTTATTGGGGTTTTGTTCTGTTCTTTCATTTGGGGCCTGTTTCTTTGTCTCCTCATTTTGGCTGCCTCCCTGTGTTTGTTTCTGTGTATTACTTAATGAGAGGTATGGGGCTCGCTGAGACCCGATGCTGCTCGTTTGAAAGAATTTAGGAAAAACCTGAAGCAGGATCCAAGACCGGCCAATCCTATGGTTAAGCAAGTGGCAACAGCTTGAAAGTTGTGTGGGGCGGGGCAGGGCGGGGCCTCAGGGAGTCAGCAGGGCGGGGCTACCAGTGTGAGCCAGGTTGCTGGAGTCCCAGATATGGCTTCTGTCTGCCGCCCCCCAGGGAAGGGCTCACCAAAGGAACAAAGGCCTCTGACAGCACGTTTGTCCCCGAGGAAGACCCCTCTCCAGCGCTCGCTCCAGTGCCAAACAGCTCAGTTCTTCCCTGTATGTCTCTGGTGCCCCTCGAGCTGCCTCCCCTCCGAGCTTAGAGGGAGAGAGTCCGATAACTCCGTGCGCCGGCCCTTTAGGGAGCTGCCTGGGGTTCCAGCCGCTTCAGCTTCCCTGAGCCTCAGTTTCCGCTGGTTTTTCCAGCCAGAAGTTATGGGGATTCTCTTCCTGGCACTGGAACCCTGAACGGGGCACCTGGTGTGGGACGGGGACCCCTCAGTCCTCAGGAAGGACCTTCCCAGCCGCGGGATCCTCCTGATTTTTATCCACCACACTTGGGTGTGGGACCAGCCCGTCTCGCTGCTGCGCCGCCGCCGCCGCCGCCCCCCCTTGCGCCGCCGCCGTCCTACCAGTCTGGATGTAGCTGCTTTTTTTTTCCCCCTTAGTTCCGTAGTTGTATGACTTCCATTCAGCTTGATTTCAGGCGGTTTTGAATGATGGTTGTTCTTTAGTTTAGTTGTAACTTTGATGTGGTTGTGGGAGGACGCGATACCGCGTTTACCTACGCCACCATCTTGACCGGAAGTCCAGGTAGCCATTTTTAAAGAAAGACTTGGCAGATGAGTGAGTTGTTGCCTGGTTGCCTTTTAGACTTTTCTGGGTAAAAAGATCCTAAAGGAGCTTGGGGACTACCCTTGCTCCTGGGCCACCAGCTGCTCACATCATGTATCTATTCAAACATTTAATTTGATTGGAGGAAAAGCCAGAGACACGAGCTTAATATAACTCCCAATGTTATTCTTCTTTCCAGGAAGGCGAAGAGTTTGTAAAGAAAATCGGTGGTATTTTTGCCTTCAAGGTGAAGGATGGCCCTGGGGGTCAAGAAGCCACCTGGGTGGTGGATGTGAAGAATGGCAAAGGATCAGTGCTTCCTAACTCAGGTCAGTGCAGTAATGACTTCTTTTATAGGAACATGGACAAGTTCACAAAGGAAAATGGGAGTCTGCTTTGGTGTTCCCAAAAAGGGCCGGTGTGAGGACCTTGTTGAACTAGTGAATTGGGAATCAGAATAGGTCACAGCTGCCTCTCTCCAAAGATGGAGAGACTATCACAGAGTCACCAATCTTAAGCTTTGGAGTTAGACAAACTTGGGTTAGGGCCCTGTCCTTGCTACTCACAGATTTTGACCTTGAATAAATTATTTAACTTTTTGAGCCTCAGTTTTCTGATCTATACCTGGGAATAATAAGTGGTACCTATTTCACAGGTTTGATGGGAGAATTACAAGAATTATCTCTTAATTAGTCTGTAAAGTACACGATTCAGTATATGGTAATGTGGCTTGAAAGACCTGTCTATATTCACTATCTCCACTTTCTCTCATCCCAGTCTTTTTTTTTTTTTTTTCCTTTACTATCAACCATTTATTTCATAGCTTTCTCTTTTTCATCCCAGTCTTTCTTGAACCCACTCCAGTCAGCTTTTTTTTTTTTTTAATCTTCACCTGAGGACATTTTTGCATTTATCTTCAGATAGAGCAGGAGGGAGAGAGGGAAGAAGAGAGAAAAACATCGATGTGAGAGAGACACATTGAGTGGTTGCCACCCACACGACCCCAACTGGGGCCGGGGACAAACTGCAACTGAGGTACATGCCCTTAGCAGGAACCAAACCCAGGCCTCTCTGGTCTGCGGGTTGATGCTCTAACTGCTGAGCCAAACTGGCCAGGGCTCTAGTCAGCTTTTGTCCTCAGGGCTCTAGACAGTTATTCTTAACAGGGTCACCAGTGCGTACAATGTTGCTAAATTCCCAGCCCTCATGATCTTCTTCCAGGCTTTCTCCTCTTACCTACTGACTGCTCCTTCTTAGCCTCTCTTCCTGTTTCCTCCTCACCTCAAAATTTCTAAACATTGGAGTGCTCCAAGGCTCAGTTCTATCTACTGGGGATCTCATTTAGTCTCATACTTTTTTTTCCCTTAATCCTCACCTGAGGATATGGTAGAGTTGATTATTGATACATTTTGGAGGGTGCTCCTAGAGGAGAGGTTGACATTAGGAGCACAGGTAGAATGAAGGTTAGCCTTAGCAAGGAGGGATGGATATTTCTTTCTCTGAGAAGGTAGATAAATATTCAGGGGCATTTTTTTTTTTTTTATCCTCACCCGAGGACATTTTTCCATTTTTTGTTCAGGTAGAGTGGGAGGGAGAGAGAGGAACAGAGAGAGAGAGAGAAACATTGATGTGAAAGGAACACATCGAGTGGCTGCCACCTGCACGACCGACCAGGGCCGGGGACAAACTGCAACTGAGGTATGCGCCCTTAGCGGGAACCGAACCCGGGTCTCTCAGGACCACAGGCCGACGCTCTAACCACTGAGCAAAACCGGCCAGGGCTTCAGGGGCATTTTGAAGTGGAGAGGAGGTTGGCAGAACTCCTGGAATAGAATTTAAAGCTTTGAGACAGGAGAAATGTTAATAGCAGTGTTATATGTGCTATTAAATAAGGAATCAACTAGATATTAACAGAGGAAAAGCTGAGCTGTAGTAAGGGAATCCATCTGGTGTGGGCCGTTTGGTACTGTTGTGAGAAGTTCCTGAACTATACATAGTCTTTTTTCTCAAAATGAGTGGACAGAAAAATAACTACATATTTGACTTCTGTAAGCTGTTTTATATAGATTCTAGCTTTTAGAAATAAAAAGAACTTTGGGGAAATAGTGCCAATTTTTTTTCAATGACTAAAGAGTTACAGATACGTCAGGATTATATTCTGATATGCCCAAGCAGATGTTAAGGTGATTTAAATTCTTCTCTTTTGTTATTGGCGTTTGTTCGTCATGAAAGATAATATACTTATGGAAAGCTATTGCATAATTTCAGAAAAACCTTGTTGCCTCATATGGACTCTGGCAGTGAACTCTCCCCTCAGGTGCCCCACCCCAGACCTGAAGGGATCTTACCCCTGAGCGAGGTGATTTCTGCTGAAACTGACACGTGCTGGCAGCAGACTTACCCAGTAAAAGCCACCACTGGAAATTACCAGCTCTTTTTACATCAGCCAACAAGTGACCATTTGTTAAAGATCAGCTACGTTAAAACTCTAATAACCTGTCCTAGTTTGAACTGGCATCTTAGAGAATTGCTAATTCTTTTGGTGTGTACATAGTGTTGAGAGATTTACTTACTGTTAACGAAGATTTACTTAAATGTATTTCATTTGCTTATATTCTAACAGCTTGGTAGTGATTATACTTTAGACGTTGTGCATTTTCCATACTCTTTTTTTTCCTGCCTAGGTGCCCATGAAGTCTGCCCCTCTCCTCTCCTTTGAAACAACTCACACAGCATATCTCTAGGAAAACAACTTTGATTAATCTGACATAACACATTATTCTTTCATTCTTTTATTCTTCCCTCTCAGCACTTACTTGAGTTTTCAACCCTGCCCTTTTGTGGGGAACATGATACAGAAAGCCCCAGAACCTCCCATCCCCAAGGTATAGAAGAAAGAGCATAATGGCCTTTGGAGACACCCAAACCTGGGTTCAGGCCTTCGCTCTGTCATTTATTAGATATATATCTTCCCTGAGTCCAATTGTCTCATCTAGAAAATGGTGAGAATAATTTCTAGTCATGGAGCTGTTGTGGGGATGAAATGAGATAAGGTACATAAAGCAGTTTAGCATAGTAAGTGCTCAGTAAGTTGTTGCTTCCTTCCCAACTCATATATTAAACATGAATTTTGCTTGAACACATTAGTCTTGTCTAAGACTCCTCAAAAAGATATGGGGAACTGAGCGTGCATCTGGGATTCATCAGATGCTACTGAATTGGTGAAGGCCCAATTAAAACTGAGCTGTTAAATGGGTTTGTATCCATCTTATAACAAGAGAAAGCCATAGAGCCAAAGAGTTGGGAGTATGGGTTGTGGCTGCAAGAATCTGCTTTCAGACCTAGCTCAGCTGCTTACTAGCTATGTGATCTTGAGCAAGTTATTTCACCTCTCTGACCCTCATAGAGTTGTAACAGTCAAATGAGTATGTATGTGAAGTGCTTGGCTGATACTACAGCAGCAGCAGACTTCACTTCCTAAAGCCACCTTTCAATGACTGAAAGTCCTTGCTTGGGATAGTAGGATGAAGTCCAACTATCTCAATTTGCTAGCTTTTTTTTTTTTTCCCCTGCCTGCTCTTTGATGTTATATATCTACAAGAAAATTGGATTTTATAGATAGTAAATTCTGTCATTTTCAAGGCTTCACACCTTTTTTCCAGTAATAAGGGAAAATTTTGTTAAAGGCAAAGATGGAATGGCCATTGAATTTCATTCTCTTTAGGAGCTATTTCTTTTTATTTTCAATCTTGTTTTAGTTATTTAATAATATGGACATGCTATAATTTAATGGTTTGCCCTGTCTTTGTCCATTCGGGCTGCTGTAACAAACATACCACAGACTGGGTGGCTTATAAACAATAGAAATTTATTTCTCACAGTTCTGGAGGCTGGATGTACAAGATCAAGGTGCCCGCATAGTCACGTTCTGTGAGGGCCCTCTTCCTGGTTCATAACCAGTGCTCTCTTGCTGTGGGCTCACATGGTAAAAGGAGCTAGGGGTCTCTTTGGAGTCTTTTATAATTCCATCCATTAAGGCTCCACCTTCATGACCTCCCAACGGGCCCTGCCTACTAATAGCATCAGGAGTTAAGATTCCTACATATGAATTTTGGAGGGGGGACACAAACATTTAGATTGTGTCCATGGGGTATGTCCAGCTAGAAGACCGGATGAGGCCCAAGAAATCAATACCAGCTAACATCACATGCCTCGCCAAATTAGCCTGACCAAATATAGCAGGCTAATTTTTAAGTTGATAATGTTCTATGGCCCGTGACTGATGTTATAAATATCCAAATGGCCCTTGTGGCAGAGATAGCAATCCCTATTTCTTTTATTAAGGCATAGATTATCTGATTATTGGGCCATAATTTGATTATTTTAATTCTAAATTACTTTTTATTTATTCAACAAGAATTTATTGATTACCCTTTATATATCAAGTGCTCTTCAAGGCCCTGGGGATATAGTGGTGAACAAACTGACAAGGGCCCTGCCCCATGAAGTTTTTATTCTAGTGGACAAATACAGACAGAAAACACATATACAAGCACATAAGGTAGTTTCAGATAAGTGCAACGAAGAATAAATAAAAAGTGCAAAGAAAAATAAAACAGAATTGTGAGAAAGTGACTTGTTTTCTGAGAGAGGCCAACTTTAATGTGAGGAGGTGTCAGCTGTTAGAATACTATTGTTATATTGATTGCCTGAAACACTACTAATAAGTTTGATTTCTTGGAGAATTTTTTCTTTTGTACCTGAAACCTCTCATTTGTCTAAGGTAGACATGGCTGATTTGACAATGAGCTATTAGAGTCTTTGTTGTACAGTCTTTTTCAGTATACTTTGATGATATTAAAATTAATATTTTTAAATTTTTGTATTATATAGGTAATATATACTCAGTATAAAAAAAAATGAGAAAAGATAGAGAAAATGAAAAAATTACTCTCCTGTAATGTCACCATCTACTTTAGGGGTTGAAAAACTATAGTCTATGGGTCAAATCCAACCTACCACCTGTTTTTTTGTTTTGTTTTGTGTAAAATTTTTATTGAAGTCTAGCACATAATAAAGGGCATAAGTCTGAAGTATACAATTGATAAATGTTAACAAATGAATGTATCTTCCAGATCAAGGTGCAGAATGTTGCCAGCATCCAGAAGCCTCCCTCACACCTCCTTTTATCACCACCTACTCCCAAAAGGAGCCACTATTCCTAATTGTATCACTATAGATTGATTTTATTTAAATTTTTTTTTTTTTTAATCCTTACCAGGGGACACTTTTTAATATTTTGTTGAGATAGAGTGGAAGGAAGAGAGAGAGAGAGAAACATCGATGTGAAAGGGACACATCGAGTGGCTGCCACCCACACGACCCAACCAGGGCCGGGGACAAACTGCAACCGAGGTACGTGCCCTTAGCAGGAACTGAACCCCGGTCTCTCCGGACTGCAGGCCGATGATCTAACCGCTGAGCCAAACCAGCCAGGGCTAGATTGATTTTATTTATTTTGGAGATTCACAAGGCCCCAAAATGGAAACACTGCAAAGCTACATCAACTGTGGAATGAATAAATAAATTCTGGTGCATTCCTGTAGTAAAAATGAACTACTGCTACTGTTGCTACATGCAACAATATGAATCATACAATGCCAAGCAAAAGAACCAGACCTGAAAAAGTAAATATTGCATGGTTCCACTTAAAATATTTATTACAAATGAAAACTCTTAGATATTTACCAATTTATAGGGAGCTAGGAACAAAATCGAAGAGATGAAACCATCGATGATATATTAGCAAAATAACATTTTCTGCTTTTAGCCTTCTTGAGAGTGTCAGTAGACTATCCATTAAAAGTCCTCAGACTAAAAAAAAATACTTAGTATTTCTAGATGCTTTTAGAATACCTGTTGAATAAATGGTTGTTTACATAGTGCCATCATTTCTTTAATCAATTCTCTCTTGTTAAATGTTGAGGCTGTTTGTGATTTATGCCACATTTTGCCAGGCTGCCATTGAATGCCATTTTCCCACACTGCTCCAGCACTGGACGTGATTCTGCTGCAGTCCATCCGTGGCTTTTGGCTAAAATGTACACATAACACTGAACACTCCTCTTTTCTCTTTTCTTCTGTATATCTCTCTTTTAGATAAGAAGGCTGACTGCACAATCACAATGGCTGACTCGGACTTGATGGCTTTAATGACTGGTAAAATGAATCCTCAGTCGGTAAGTGTAATGGCACTTACATCCTTCCAGTAGGTGGGTCTTTTAGCCCATTCTATTCTCCTGCCTCAGTCGCATATCATAAAGTGCAAAGTGGTCAAACCCACAAAACCCAGTGTTCACTTAACAAACAACAAACATTTGTGGAGCAGACTGTGTGTCAGACACTGTTCTATGTGTTGGAAATGCCCAGGTGAATAAAATATTCGTGCTCAAGGTGTCCACAGTTTGGTACAAAACAGATCTGCAACAGAGTATACAAAGGTGTCATGCCTGGTTCGTGATCAGGGGGTGGGGGAGAAACAGCCATGACTTCCTGGGCCCTCAGAGAAAGGTTCACAGAGAAAGTGACACTTGAGCTGAGTCCAGAGGTTCATAAGTGAGCGGTGCACAGATGGAGAGTAGGAACAATCCACGTGGAAGGAGGGAGAGGTGTGAACAAAGGTGTGACCTTTAACATTTTGTATCTTTGCTTGAGTTTTTGCCTGAGTTGTCCATCCTCAATAAACTCAAATTAAGCTCAGATTGAATCTCCAAAGACCTCCTTCCAAGTTGTTGGGGAGCTGTAGCCGGTCCCTCTTCTGATCCACTTCCTGGGCTGCTTGCTTAACACTTGTCACATATGAGTCTTAACGTGCCTGTCTTCCCCATTGGATTGTGGTTATCTTAAAGGGACAAACCACACAGATCTTGTCTTGTCTCCAGAACTTAGCACAATGCCTGACTTCTGTTAAGTTTCACGATTGCTGGACTATATTGTATTTGTCTGAAATGTATTTATGCCTTGTATAGATTTTCCTGTATTCTTTTTTTTTTCCCCTCACCCAAGGACACTTTTGCATTCATCTTCAGATAGAGTGAGAGAGAGAGAGGGAGGAAGAGAGAGAGAGAGAAACATTGATGTGAGAGAGACACATTGAGTGGTTGCCATCCACATGACCCCAACCAGGGTGGGGACAAACTGCAACCAAGGTACGTGCCCTTAGCAGAAACCGAACCCGGGTTTCTCTGGACTGCAGGTCAACGCTCTAACCACTGAGCCAAACCGGCCAGGGCTCCTGTGTTCTTCTTTAGTTGTTAGTGGTGAACAGACCACTGTATACTGAGCTTCCCATTAGCCATAGATAATAAAAAGGAAACTACGATGTGCTTCTTTTCATTATAGCCTTACTTTTTCTGTCACCTTAGCCTGATTTGTTTTAGGTCTTATTCCTGTGGTCCCCTGGTAATTCTAAAGATTGGATAAAACAACTAAATCTGACTCCCACATGTATTACTTTTTTTTTTTTTTTCATTGTTGAGAGTTTTTTTTTTTAATTCTCAAGGACATTTTTCGATATTTTGCTCAGATAGAGTGGAGGGAGAAAGAGAAACATTGATGTGAAAGGGACACATTGAGTGGCTGCCACCCGACCCAACCAGGGCCGGGGACAAGCTGCAACCGAGGTACGTGCCCTTAGCGGAAACTGAACCCGGGTCTCTCTGGACCACAGGCCGACGCTCTAACCGCTGAGCCAAACCAGCCAGGGCCATGTATTACTTTTAAAAATGCTTTTTCTAAGCAACTAAGCATATTTCAGTTAACGCGTTGACAAATGAGAGAAGTGCATGTGTGACTTTTCAACTGAATACACACTGTTGGCACTGATATTTCCACCCAATGAGCCCACTCCAAAAATCTGGCCAGAACAGAGGCCACCAATATAGGAGCTGGCTGTCATTCCCCTTCCCACCCACTGCTCCTCATTTCACTGTGCACTCACTCCACACACTTCCTTGGCAGGGTGATCAGACTTCACATGTCGGCCACCCTGAGCTCTCTCAGTTTATCTGTTTACCACCGATTTAGGGGAGTGAAGTGTCAGCCTGTTTTTCTTGAGCACCTGTTAGCACCCAAGGGAATTAAAGATAAAAAATGACAGACCTTTCTATTAATGTGCTAATGACCTTCCCTTATGCTCAGTAGAGGATTTGACTGGAAACCACTACCTACAGTGGAAATTATAATTTCAGTGTTTGGCTACAGTTGAAATAAAGCAGCATGCTCTCCAGCAGCAAGCACGTATGAAGAACACCTAGGGCCAGATTAAAATGATTCTTATGTTTGGATTCTCCAAAGGGCAAAGATTCATGTGTTCTCTATAATAATTAGTAAATAAAAAGTCATTTTCTCTTTTAATTTAAAAAAGGGGAAGATGATGAGTTTGTCTTTTAGGTACCACTGGTTCATATTTTTAAAGGACATATGTTAAATATATTGTGTTCTGAGACACCTGACCTTTAAGTCATCAGACAGAAGGCTGTGTGCCATATAGGAAGGAAATATTTAGTTTGTCCAGACAGAGGAGAGGGGAAAAAAAGGAATTAGTCACCCTTACTAGAAGGTGTACAAAAAGCAGGGCTCTGCATTCCCATGGCTGAGGCAGAAGAACTCCTAACATCTTAATGTTCTTGTTAAAAACTGAGACTACCAGGAACTTTTTTCATCTAGCCCTTACTTATTTTAAGAGTTTAGGGAAAAGACTGAGATCATAGCAGGGAAATCAGGCTATGTTCCCAATTCTGCCATTTCTCTAAAGTTTTCCCGGGATTTTGTTTCATGATAAATTTAGCAAACCTCATGTGATCTAATCCCAGGCAGTTGTTAAATGGAACAAACTGTGGCTCTACACTTCAGATTGGCTGGATTCCTACTGAGCCAAAGATGAACACAAGCACCTCAGTCTCAGCAGGCTGCCTGGCCTCCCTCCTTAGGGATAAGTTCTTTATCATGGAGACCAAAAAGGGGGGGGGGGGGGATTGGTGACATTGCATCCATATCGTATTCCAAGAGTTTCTAAGTGTGTTAAGCATGTGCTTTTTCTGTCAGCAGACTTCTGAAAATTTTAGTTCATATTTCTGACCCACATGTAATATTTTTAAACAAAATCAATCTAGTGTAAACCCACGTAGCCTAATATTTGGGAAACGTACCACCATTGAGGGAAGCAGGCAAAGGCAGACTCAATTTCTAAGAGAAGATACGTGGGAAAGCTGTGCCTTTTGACGGCTCTATGTAATGCGTGGCTTTTACAGTTCATTCTTTTTGAAGAATCTGGTTCTAAATCTATTCCAGAAAGCTGACTTTCATATTTGGATGAAAGTATAAGAGATCTGATAAGTGATCTCAGGGCTGGATAGTCTAGAAATATCAGCAATCTCAAAACAAAAAACACCAAGTAATAAGTTTTCTTTCTTCTTACTCACAGGCCTTCTTTCAAGGCAAACTGAAAGTCACTGGCAACATGGGTCTGGCTATGAAGTTACAAAGCCTTCAACTCCAACCGGGCAAAGCTAAACTGTGAAGAACTTCCTGTGCCTACTTTTGAGAATCAAGATGAGACTTACAGATATATATATCCATATATTTCACTGTCAGAACTTAGACTGAAACCATACATTGGCAAATAGCATGAGATTTGTTTTTGAATGGGTGTGACCAATCCTGTTTTTCCTAAGCTCTGGGTGAATAGAGCCAGATGGTATACTACTGCTTTGCTGAAGTGCATACAACTGTGTGTTACAAAGTTAATATGATAATTATGGTTTAGGGTAAAATCGAATTTCAGAATAAAATTAGGGACAGCAAAATCCAAAAACTATGTAAACAAAAGCTCTCATTTTGCTTATAAAGTATATTTAAGGATTATTCTGCTGAAGATTCAATTTAAGTTTTCCTTGGGAGAACTAGAGAAGAAACAAGGTACTAGAAGCTGGCCAGAAATTAGTGTTGTGCACTTAATGACCTTAATCGATTTTCCAATAATGGTTCTTAAAATTCTGTACTGGGATTTAAAATTTTTAAATTTTGCATTTTGTGCCATCAGAATGATATTTTCTTCCCAAATTTAAATAAAAACACGATCAGAGCTTGGGGAAAAACATTTATAGCTGAACACAGCCTATTTTTAAAATAAAAATATTTTCAAATTAATTTCCTTCTTGAAAAAAATCAATGTTAAATCATTTAACAGTAAAATTTGCTTTGAGATGCACAGTAATTAAAATTATAACCTCATATTAATTTAAGGCTATAAAGCTCTCAGTCCTTTGTTACAATTTTCCTTTTCATATGTTTAATTATCCACATTTATCTTTCTTCCTACTTTTTCTAATGCTAATGTTATTTCTTATAACTCAGTAAGATATGGGGTAAAATAATGCTTTTGGAAGAATGTTTAATAGAAAATTAAAATAGCTCTTCCTGATCTTTGTTTTTATTGCATTTGTTCTTTTTGTTCGGGGTTATCTAAATGAAGATGAAGAGAAAGAAAGACATTGGGGAATTTACAGTCTGTGTCATCTAGGTGTTATCTTCTGGTTACTTTGACATCATCACCAGTTCTTGATTAGGGAGGCCAGGCATTATTGTGGAAGGAGCACTGGACTAGGAATCAGGAGTCTTGCTTTTCTTAGGGAAATAAGTAACTGCTTGCTTGGCCTGTTTGTTCAACTGTTAAAAGGAGATTTAAGTAGATGGTCTCTAAGTTTTCTTTCTTCTTAAACATGCCTTTATTTTTTTTTAAATTCTTACCCAAGGACATGCTTAGAGGGAGGAAGAAGAGAGAGTGAGAGAGAAACATTAATCAGTTGCTTCCCATGCATGCCCTGGCCAAGAATCAAACCCACGACCTTTTGGTGCCTAGGATGATGCTCAACCAACTGAGCCAGTTGGGCCAGGCTCTTATGCTCTGATTATTCTGTGAGTCTATTCAGAACCCAGAAGAACTGTTTGGGAGCTTTCCAGGCCTGCCTTTCTGTTGTTAATACATTACTTCGTCTGAAGATGGCCAGAGGAAAAATGCCAGGTGGTTTTATTTGTTTAGATGCTTGTTGGAGCCTGTGCTAATCAGCACTGTGGATCAGATTCCCTTATACCATTTAGCTTTTCATGTTCTGTGATCAGCGGAATTAGCATTTGGTGATGGGGCAAGATGGTAAATTAAGCCAATATAAGTTGATCTCAAGTCCCATAAAACAAATGCAGAACACAGACCTATTTCCTAATTGTAGTAGCTTTTTACTCTGAGATGAAAGACTTAAGGAAAAAGTTCCCACAAAATGTCTGATTTATCTGTAGTTTGGATTTGCTGCATCATTCTGCCTTCACTTATCCTAGATAACAAACAATACCTGAAATAGCCTTTAGGATAAGCCTGAAAAAACAAAAACTGTTTCTTGTAGTAGAAGTAGTATTTGCATAAGATGTATATGCATAGTGGAAAAGTATTTAGTGAGGAAATACAGCAGCAGTTTAACTTCTGGGAAGCATCATGGTTTGGAGGGAAAGGGTTAACAGGTCTGAGTTAAAACTGCTGCTGTTACTTTACTGGTTTAGTACTTGCGCAGGTTGAGCCTCATTTGCCTGATTTATAAAGTAAAGGTATTAATATTGACTTCCTAGGACTATTGAGAACCTAGAAAGATAGCATATGTAAAGTACCTAAATTAATGTTAGGTACACTGTAGTCATTCTTAGTTACCTAACTGTAAATGTGAGTTCCCTCCCTGTTCCCACCACTACCTCTGTGCCTCTGTGATATGTGACATGATGTCTGTAGTGTTCATTTTTTGAGTCGTTTTTTATTTGTTCATTGAACAAATATTTATCAAGTGCTTAATCTTATATTAGGGTGCTATAGTGAGTGAGGGTACAATGCTAGGCACTGGAGATAGTGGTGAGCTCCTCCCTCATGGTACTTACAGTCGTAGTGAGAGAGACAGTCAATCAAAGAGAGGAATCATTATTACAGACTGTGGTGTGAAATGGTCAGGGTGCCGGGATGGAGAATCACGGTGAGGGGTCGCCTTTGATAAAATGGTTAAGGGAAATATCTCTGAGGAGGTAATACTTAAACTGAGATCTAAAGGTTGAGGAGTGAGCCATACAAAGAACATTGCATGAAAGTATAGAAAGGGGCCTGGCTGGTGTGGCTTAGTGGATTGAGCGTCTTCAATTCCCGGTCAGGGCACATGCCCGGGTTGCGGGCTCAATCCCCCAGAAGGAGACAGCCTATTGATGTTTCTCTCTCACATCAATGTTTGTATCTCTTTGTCCTTTCCTCTCTCTCTCAAAAATAAATAAAAACATATTTTCAAAAAGAAAGTGTAGCCCTGGCCGGTTTGGCTCAGCGGTTAGAGCGTCCGCCTGTGGTCCAGAGATACCCGGGTTCGGTTCCCGCTAAGGGCATGTACCTCGGTTGCAGTTTGTCCCCGGCCCTGGTTGGTCGTGCGGGTGGCAGCCACTCGATGTGTCCCTTTCGCATCGATGTTTCTCTCTCTCTCTCTTCCTCTTTCTCCCTCCCACTTTATCTGTACAAAAAATGGAAAAATGTCCTCAGGTGAGGATTAAAAGAAAGTGTAGAAGGGGGCTTGGTGTGTTCCAAAATTTGCAAGGAGGCCAATGTGAGTGGAATATAGTGAACGGGAGAGAGAAGCCCAAGATGAAGTTGGATAGGTACACAGGAGCTATTTATATTGGAATCTGTTGATTATGGTACAGCATTTGTAAGTAATTCTCAGTGCATTTGGGAGCCGTTGAAGGTGTAGCTTCACATATGTCTATTTCATGAGAAATAGACATCCACTTTGCCATCATATCCTCAGTGAAGAATCCAGGCTAATGGAACAGCTCCTCTCTGGAGCATTGTGCTCATCATGGCAGAGGAAGAGAAAAAGGTCAAGTACACATTGGCTCTTAAAGTTTCCATCCAGAAGTGATCCATATCACTTTTGCTCCCAATTCATTATCCAAAGAAAGTCACATGCCCCACGCCTAACTTCACAATTTTACCATGTACCAGAAGGAGAGAATGGGTTAGGAAATTTGTGAAAGACCAGATCAACATCACAGAAGGGATGTAAGCACGGGAATGAAATGATTTAAACTGTCATGGTAGCTGCTCTGTGGAGAATGTACTGAGGGTAGGGGGCTGGAGAGTGGATGTGCAGGTGCAAGAAGATGGTATCCTAGACGAGGGTGTCAGTGGTGGAGATGGGAGAGGAAAAGTGAGCAGAGGTGGAGCTGACAGACTTGGTGACTGGAGGTAGGGGCAAGAATGACTTCCGATGACTGGCTAGGTGAATAGCGGGTCATGACTGGCATGATGAGGGGACAAGCAGGTTTTAGGGAGAGTGGTTGAAATTATAAGCTCCACTTTTGAACTTGTTAACTTTAAGATGCTTGAGAGATTTCCCAGTGGAGATAGCAAGGAGGCGGTTGGATTTACAATATGAGCTCCGAAGAAAGGAGACACCTGGAGTATGAGCATAGGGGTAGTCTTTAAAGCTACAGGAATGACTGTTATCAACTGGGGAGAGAGGAAGGGGGTTGGTAAGCCTTGAGGAACTTGAACCCTTAGATCAGGTAGAGGAGGAGGAATCTGGCAATGGGGATGACGAAGAGGGGTTAGGTGGAGGGAAATTTCCCGAGAAGAGAGTACAGTGTAGCCAAAAAGTGGGAATGATCAACTGTGTCCTCTGCTACTGGGAGTCCAAGTAGGATGATGTCTAAAAAAGGGTCTACTGAATTAACTTGGGCAATATAGAAGTCACTGGTGATCACTGCAAAATCAGTTTCAGTGAAGTAGTAGGGATAAAAGCTAGATTGGAGTAGGTTACATAAGGAGCTATGAATAATGACAGGAAAGTTCCATTTGGTAGTGATATGTTCAGTTTCCAAGCGTTAACACAGAGCAAGCACTTTAGCTAATACTTTTAGTTCTAAATTAGGCCATCTGGCACATGCTGGTCTCTGTGCCCACCCTCACCAGTCTCTCTCTGCCCCCGACCCCCACCTTATCCATTTGGCAGTTTCCTTTTCATCTTTTTCATGCCTTAGCTTTCAGGAAGCTGTCCCTGTTTGTCATATATAGAGCTAACCGTTTCTTTGTAGTAGTAATTTGTTTCTGTCTCCTACTGAAGAGAGAGCTTCGTAAGGGCAGGGAAAACTGCAGCTCATGCTTCCCGTTTGACGTCCCCAGCACAAAGTCTTGGCTTACTCTCATTAAGTGAATAAATAAGATAAGCTGAATAACAATTTTATATTCACAAGGGCCATTTCTGAGGATAGGAACCTTGTCACAGAAATGCATTCTCTATTACAATGATTTTCTGTTGCCCTGATGATGAAAGAGAAATGTTAAAAATTCTCCATTAGCCTGACCTATTCTGCTCTTTCTTTGAAAATATTTGTAGCTTCTTAGAACAGAATTCAACTGAAGATGGAAGCAGCCCAAAATAATAAATACAGAAAGTCACTTTGCTGTGGTTTTATTACATGTTTAAAAAAGTGACCCTGTGGGATAAACTAAAATTAAAAATTAAAAAAAAAAAGTAGCCTAGTGGGTTCTGTATACATGAAAGCCAGTGGTTTCGTTGCTGTACTTGTCTAGATGAATTCCAACTTGCAGGCTTCTACAACCATTGTTGCATATGTAGAAAAATAATGGAGAACATGATGAGGAAGCTGAGGGTGGATGTGGGGGGCAGAGGAGCCACTGAGGTGTGATCAGAAGAATCGGAATCAGGTCCTGTCTGCCTCCTGGAAGCTAAGTTAGGGCAAGGCATTGAAGCCTCACCAGCCTTTGGTTTCTTCCTCTGCGCAAAGGGAATGCCATTCAGGTCTCTTTAGACTGTGAACATCTTAAAGATAGTAACCCTGTGTTACTCATCTTCATGTCTCTAGTGTCAATACAATGTCTGCCAGAAGATGCATGAGGTTCTTGAAGAAATGAGGATTAGACAGTGATCACTAAAGTTCTTTTCAAATTGTAAAATACCTTGTCAAAGGTTCAATTGCATATAAATATAAATCTCTATTTTCTTCATATGTATTACCTTAGAAAAAAGAAATATGAAGTTAAATCCTATAATTAATAGCTTTATCTTCTGAAACTTAAGCAGTTTCAGAAAATAATACATTTAGAGCAGCCTAGTACGGTGGGAAAGCTTGGGGCCCATCAGATGAGGGTTTTGGTCCTGGCTCTGGCACTCCGGCTGCTTTGGGGCCTTGAGAGAATGACTCTCAGCCTGTTTCTTCCTCCTTAAAAAGGGAATAATTTCACACCTTGCTGGCTGTGAGAATGAGCAATTATAGGCTGTAAAATGTCAAACACATAGTAGATACTCAATAGATAGGTGATGCCTAATGTTATCTGAGATTTT